GAGAGAGAGCGTGAGCAGGGGAGGGTCAGAGAGAGAGGGAGTCACAGACTGAAACAGGCTCCAGGCTCTGAGCTGGCAGTCAGCACAGAGCACGACGCAGGGCTCGGGCCCACAAACCGCGAGATCATGACCTGAGCGAAAGTCAGACACTTAACCGACTAAGCCACCCAGGTGCCCCTGTCCAGAGGTCTTTTTAAATTAGAAACATTTTTTGAATAATTGGTATGTTCATGTGGTTTAAATGTTAAACAGAGAAAAGGTAAGAAGTATCCTCCTCATCTTCCAGGCATCTAGTTCCCCAGTCAGGAGGTAATTACTGTGAATAGTATCTTCTGTCTTTTTTCTGAAGATATTCTGCCCATGTTGTTCAGTGGCTCCTAATGGGGCCCAGGGGAGGTGGAGCGAATCATGGCGACCTGGGGAAGGTTTTCTAAGGGTACATGGCTGCAGCCATCAGGCGATGGGGTCAGGGAGGATGAGCAGACAGAGATATTCTGAAAACGATTCCTACGGGGCTTGGGTATAAACCCCTCTTCCAGGCCCAGCCATGGGTCTATCTAGACAGGCAAGATCGTTACGTGTGGAAATGGACCTAGTAGTACAGGAGTTCACTAGAGATGAAGGTCACTTTCTGGCACAGCCAGAGGGTTCTGGGCAAGACAGCAGCAGTGGGTCTGCTGTGGCGGGGCGGTGGAGGAGTTGGGGTAAACTTTGTGAAAAGTTACCACCTTCAACCTTTCTGGGCCTCTGTGTTCCTCATTTATGAAACTACTAATCCAGGGTTTTCAACTCCCCCCCCCCCTTGAATCCCTGTAGCAGTCTGAAGGAACGTGTAAACGGCTCTAATGTGTATGTAAAACATGGAGGTAATTAATGTAAACGGATTACACTGAAACCTGACAGTTTCCCCACCTGGCCCAGGGTAGTCCTGTCACATTAGGGCCCTGTGCTCTGGGGAGGCCAGGGCCGGGTTCTGGTCCCCAGGAGCTGCTCTGCATCCTGGGCTGCTTGCGGCCTACTGGCGGTTACTAGGGAAGGTGATGGGGGGATATTCCCTCCGAGGTTGCTTTGCAAAGAGTCCAATGAGCAATCCATTCCCCCCTGATTATTAGCTTCACCTCTGTCTACACCAGATCTTCTGTCCTAACTGAGGATGAGTAGCTCTGTCTGGTGTTGGGTTTCCAAAAGGTGGCAGCACTGTCCTGGGAAACAAACCCCATGTGGGTGGGGAGGGCCTGCCCTCATAGCCATGCCTCTGTAGTTTCGTGGAGCACTTTCTGAGTCTGCCTGCATGGACCTTGACCATGGTACTGTCTCCTCCCCACTCAGTGAGTCTCGACATTAGAGATGGACCCGGGCCAGGCCCTGGCTTCTGTTCTCAGCCTGTGGTGGGGCCACCCTGAGGGCCGCTAAGCCTCACAGGTGCTTGGCTGGATGGGCACACATCTCAGAACTGGCCCACCATCATGTGCAAAAGAAAGTTACATTCCTGCAATCAACTTAGCTCCTTTCTACTCCCCATGTTTGCCGTGAGAGTTCTGGAGGAAGGTGGGCACTTTAAGCAGTGGAGTCTTGGGCAGTTTAGGCCGAATTTCTTCTCCTCAAATAATTTAACATTGGCTAAGACAGCACCGAGAATTTGGTGGATCTGTTTAAGGCAGGTGGCAGTGTAGCGATTTCCGGAGTGCCCCAGACCCTTCAGACTCTGGGCGACCATCCATCGTTTCTCTGCTGCGGGGTCTGGGGTTCAGAAGTGGGGAGTTGCTGCTTCTGATGTGTGTGTTCACATGGGCTTGGGTCAGTACCTGAATGGTAATTGAAGCAGTCAATTTTCAAGAATCTGCTAGAAGATGAAATTGTCATTATAGTCAGAGGAGGGCATCAGAAGGGCCTGGTTTAGACGTACCTTCTGACAGGTGGATACACTGGCTCTCCCTTTCCAAGCCTGTGCCTCTAGCGCCCGAACAGAGTCTTTTAGGAGGATTTACTTCTACATATCATTCTTTAAGCCACCTTGCTAATCCTCTATTCCCTTCATCTTCTATGTGTTCTCTCTTTCACACAGAGATGCATATATATACATTTGTACATTCATGAAGGCAAAGAGAGAAGTAAAAAACAAGACAAAAAACCCCACAAGTTTTATTCATGCATTTATTCCAAAATTATTGAGTCCTTGCTATGTACTAGGCATTGTCCTGATAGTAATTGGAGGGCACAGTCCCTATTTCCATGGAGTTTAGGGGGAGGAGACAGACAATGTACAAATAAATGTGCTAGAAAAGTATTGGGTGTAAATATGCCCTCCGGATAAGTGGTCCCAGGATGTGACAGCATGACAGAGTTGTTACCGTGCACAGGGTGAGCAGGGAATGCCTACCACCCCTGAGGACGTGACCGGCGTCAGCACGATGAGGGAAATGGGGGCGTAGCGTCAAGGCCATGGGGCAGGCAGCGGCCTGTCATGTTTAGGGTACGGAGAGAGAGGCCAGGGGCAGGAGCCAGATCACAGGATGTGATGTAGTCATTGAAGGTTTCTAAGCAAGTGAGGGAAAAAGTGCCTCCAACCCAATTAAATGACTCGTAAGCCCATCAAGCGCACACATTGGGGTCTATTTTGGGCACCTCAGTAGAAGAACAGCAGAAGGTAGCGGGAGCCAGCTGGCGTTTGTGTGGCATGTAACTCTGTGCTCCTGCATGTCCTCTCCTCTACACCCTACACCAGTCCCCCAAGGACAGCACTGTTCCCTTCCCTTTAACTGCAAGAAAAGCAAGGTGTGGAGGCTGGAGGGGCAGAGCTGGGATTTGAACCCCAGGGACCAGGCTCCAAGCCCCTGCTTCATTTGCCTTCCTGGAAATGGACCCCTGGGCAGCTTTATGTTGTTGTTGTCATCATTTTGTTGTTGTTGTTGTTGTTGTTACTTAATTAAAAAACCCATGATTTATTTCTGTTTGTTTATTCTGCACCCAGCATAGGGCTCCAAGTCATGACCCCAAGATCAAGAGTCACACACTCCTCGTACTGAGCCAGTCAGGTCCCATATTACTACTTAATATGTACAAAATGTTGTTATAATTTACATTTCCTTGAACACTACTGAGATTGAACACTTTTCATGTATTTTTACTTTGTGTTCATGTATCTTTATCTTTTCTAAAATATGTATAACCTAGAGTCTGTCGTTTTACCCATTTAAAAATGTTTATGTTTGAGAGACGGGGAGAGAGAAAGAGAGAGAAGGCTCATACGGGCATGCACAAGCAAGGGAGAGGCAGAGAGAGGGAGAGAGAGAATCCCAAGCAGGCCCTGCACTGTCAGCACAGAGCCTGATGTGGGGCTTGAACTCAAGAACCATGAGATCATGACCTGAGCCAAAATCAAGAGTTGGACACTTAACCAACTGAACCACCAAGGCACCTCTATCATTTGAGCCATTTTTAAGTGTACAGGTCAGTGGCATTTCTGGAACTTTTTGTCACCTTCAAATAGAAACTGTAGCCGTCAAGCAAGAACTCCTCATTCCCCCTCCTCCCAGCCCCTGGTAACCTTGAATCCACCTCCTGCCATGATGAATTTGTCTGGTCTAGGTATTTCCTATAGATAGACTCATCCAATATTTGTCCTTCACGTCTGGCATATTTGACTCAGCATACGGTCTCCAGGGTTGGTTCCCGAGGCAGCATGCACCAGAACATGATTCCTTTTTACGGCTGAATAGTGTCCCATTGTGTGTACGTACCACGTTTTGTCTGTCTATCCAGTGATGGAGTTTCTACCCGGGGCAGCTTTTCACATGGAGATAGGACCTTACCAACTACTCACTCACTCCTGTTCTGAGGACACTTTCTGAACCCTGGAGAATCTGTTTGCCCTGCATCGGGGTGAGCCTCCCCTGTGTGTGGTTAGAGGTGCTGCTGAGTTTCGTCGGGTATCAACCTTTAAGTATTTAAAAAGCTCAAGATGAACACTGTAATTGTTCCTGTGTCAATATGGACTCTCATTAGATCCTTGCCTGTCCACCTCCTAGCAGTGTCGTGTCGGAGGAGAGCTCCACAGGGTTATTTCGTTGTTTACCTCTGAGCTGGAAGCCTCTCTCCTGCACAGGACAATTTAGCTTGTCCCAGAAATTCTCCAGAGGAGCCGCAGAGGAGCCCCAAGTCTGTGCTGGGGGACCCCGAGCAGGCCAGGTCTACCTGGCTTCAGTTTCCTCATCTGTAAAATGGCATAAAACTCCTCCTAAGATTCTGTGTCCTTCCCAGACAGGTTAAGAAGTTCCTCATTGTTGGGGCGCCCGGGTGGCTTAGTCGGTTAAGCGTCCGACTTTCGCTCAGGTCATGATCTCACAGTTTGTGGGTTCGAGCCCCGTGTCGGGCTCTGTGCTGACTGCCAGCTCAGAGCCTGGAGCCTATTTCAGAGGCTGTGTCTCCCTCTCTCTCTGACCCTCCCCTGCTCACGCTTTCTCTCTCTGTCTCCTAGAAATAAATAAAACATTAAAAAAAATTAAAAAAGTTCCTCATTATTTCAAATCCAGGAAGCCCCCCGCCTCCCCTACCCCCCCATCCAATCTATGGAACTGGTCAGCATCCCCCTGTAATCCCGCATTTTCCATGATGGCTGCAGGCCCTCAGCCACTGAGGAAATGGCAAAGCTGCTTCTCAGCATGGAAAACAGGTGGCTGGCAGCCCCCACACTAGTTGGGTTTCTTTTCCTCATCCTTGGCAGCCAGTGCTGCTGTTTGGTAGGGAGCCCCCTGACCGCCCCCCCCCACCCCCACCCCGCCGGCCAGCCCTTCTGTGGATGCCCAGCAGCTCCCGGGCGGCCTTGGGAAGTAGGAGCTGTGCCTTCTGGGTGAACTGCCCCCTCTCTCAGGGCCAGGAAAGAAGCGATGCTGGTGGTGACCTGTGTGCTCCTGAGCCGCCGGCTGTGTGAGAGAAGATTCATTGGCTGCATCCGTCTCCCCCAAGGCGTGAGGCCACTCACGGCCAGTTTTCCTTTTCAGAGCGATAAATCTGAGAAATCCTGTGCTGCAGCAGGTGCTGGAGAGGAAGAATGAGGTCCTGTGCGTCCTGACGCAGAAGATCGTGACGACGCAGCAGTGTGTGATCTCAGAGCACGTTCAGGTGGATGAGAAGTGCGGCGGCATGGTGGGGATCGAGACCAAGATGGTGCAGGTGCGCGGCGGGTCCAGGGGTGTGGAGGTCCTGCTTGTCACGGCCAGGGTCAAGGGCCTCCTGGGGTTGTGTCTTTGATTGTCAGGACTCTTCTGTAGTGAGCTAAAAGAAATCCAACTCAAGTCGGTTTAAATGAGAAACAACATATTGGCTCGTGTAACTGAAACAGGCAGGGAAATCTAGTTCAGTTGTTGCTAGAAGGTAAATCTGGAAAACAGGGTGTGCTGCCTCCCCTGGGGGTGGGGCCCCTCTCAGGTAGGCACTGTCCTTGTGCGGTGGCGGCTCCATGCCTCCATCCCATCGGCTGCCCCCCTAGGGGCTGGTGTGCTTCAGGGCTGGCTCCCACCAGGCCCCCTTGTGCCCATTTCTGAAGCAGACCGAGGCTGGGCAGTAGGACCCTCGGAATGGCCACGCAGGCGTGGGTCAGGCGCCTTCCCCAAAAGAAAATGGGTCAAAGGAGCACTGGTCAGGCCGATGCACAGAGAGCCACTGGAGCCCCTTGGAGCCAAAGGTCTCAAAATGATTTCTTTGGGATCACTTGCCTCAAATCCTTTGTGGACTGAGTTAGGGAAGGTAAAGAGCAGTACACATGTCTATACACACAAAAACAGACATTTCTGGATTAAAATAAAGGCAGATTTATTACCAGGCTGATCCCGGAGCCAGCACTAGACTTCTGTGTCACAGGAGGCTGTCAGCCCCAGACTGTTTCCTCCACCGCTTGCCCTGGTGCCTGATGCCTGTTCTTAGAGATTTGCTTCCTGGAGTAACTTCTGGCTTTTGCCGGAGGACCTGGGGAAGCTGTATTTGGAAGAAGGTGGAGACAGAGGTCGGGTCTGGAGGCGGACTCTCCCTGGGGCAGGCGGGCTGGACAGCAGCGAGGAGGGAGGGGCCTGACGGGAGGTGACTCTGGTCACCCCTGCTGGTGTTCCTGCCCGTGGTGACCCGACCACAGGCCTGGCGCCTTCCTGGGAATCAGGAAGCCGGCTGTCCTCACACCAGCTGGGATCCAGTTGCTAAAAGGGGTCTCTGATTTCCAGTGTTGAGGCAATGGTGTCCCCAGGCGGTCCCGGGAAGGGGTCATACTTGTAACAGTGTTGGAAGCACAGAGCTCTGCTGCCTGGCTCTTGGTGCCTGTCTCGTCCCTCCGGCATCTCCCCTGCACTTGTGCACAGCCACTGTGCCATCCACAGGGCTCTGGAATGAGGCCCCTGGGAGGTCCTCGCTCTTAGCTAGGTTCTCCCAGTCAGGTGCTGACGTCCTTTGGGACTGTCATTGTCCGGCTGTCACAGTGGTTACCGTAATCCTCCGTGAGGAAATGACAAGTTACCTTGTCCCATTTATCCTTTTGATTCAGTACTGTCGACCTAGCCTCACTATCCCCCAAACTCCGGAATCTCACTTTTTTTGTCCCCACAAAACTTTGGCCATTTACTTCCCAATATGTGCATCACATCATGAGGCCCACAACGATCACATCCTTACGTCTGCCGTCTGGCTCCTCCTTTCCACTTGATTCCTTGGGCATTTGCTCAGGGTTTCTGTGTGCCAGGCCCCAGGCCGGCCACAGTGGGGAGGCAGAGAGAAGCCTGGGGGAGTCCGAGCGCAGGGGGGCAGCCTGTGCTCTCACTCCCAGGTGTCCGCGAAGGAGGACGGGAATGTCATCAAGGACACCAACGTGGTGCTGGAGATCCCGGCTCCCGCCACCATCGCCTACGGCATCATCGAGTTGTACGTGTAACTGGATGGCCAGTTCGGTGAGTGCCGCCTCCTGCCCCGGGTGTTGGGGGGAGGGCGATGGGAAGTGCGGGGATGTCCCGTGACAGGTGAGACAGGTGGGACAGGTGGGCTGCATGGGGAGGGCGTCCGTGTGGGTGAGCTTTCACCAGCACGGCTCAGGGTTCACGATGTGGGCGTGCCGTCAGACAGACTAGGGTCGGCCCTGAGGCCGTGGTGTCTGTGAGGCCTCAGGCAAGTTGTGGCTGTCCCCACGCCTGCCTTCTCCATCTCTGGAAGGGGAAAGGCAGTCCCTCACGGAGCTGCGGTCAGGATTATAGGCGATGAGGCATGTGAAGTGCCCGGCACAGCTGTTAATAACGCTATCACCATCAGCATCCCACCCTCCCCACAACGTGAAGCCAAAAATGCTCCACTTGACCTTGCTCTGCTGATCACCGGTGTGTTCAAAGCTGGGAGATCCTGGTCATTGTATCATCTGGAGAAAACAAGGGCTTTAGTGTCGCTCGTGTTTGCTGATCTTAGATGCTCGCGGCCCCTCCTTCCTGCTTGTCCTGACAAGAGGCTGTGCTGAACCCAAGAAAACTGACCACTTCTTGGGGACATGAATGAATAAATATAATAATGGACTTTGTAAGCTCCGTAATGTTATAGTTATGTTTATAAAAAAGAGTCCTGTTTTAGAGATTTATACCGAAGTCTTCGCAGATGAAATGGTAACACATATGTGGATTGCTTCGAAAATGGTCCGGGTGGAGTGTAAAGGGTGTGTGCGTGGAGTCAGGAGGCATAAAGGACAGCTGCCAAAGCTGGATGTACTACTCCTGTGCCATTTCACATTTTCCATAATGAAAAGTTTTAAAAGCTGTGCCCTGATACACCATGCACGTATGTCTCCTGTTCTTCTCTCATTGGTTCTCTGAAGTAGCAGGTTAGGGAGAAGGAAGTTGTCCGGGAGGCAGCTTTTTGTGTGCGCTTGGCTCACATGAGTCAACCAGGGCATTGAGCTACAAGTACAGGCACTTAGAACACTCACTGTCCTTAACTGACGGTCAGAGAAGAAACGCGTGAGGCCCAGAATGCGATGGCAGACTCCACTTTTATTTCACACATGGAGCAGCCTGCATTTCAGGGAGGTGACACAGAGTGAGGGTGTCAGGTTCTTAGATGTCGTTCTACAGAGGTTCCACAGGGACGCGGGAGCTATCAGAAATGCCAAGAATCATGACCGACAGGCTTCCGGCCACGGTTCTAAATGTGTCCTCATTGGCATTGTTCTGATTTTATTCCATCTCTTCGGGTGACTTCTAACTACTTGAACAAGGTTGTTGCTGCTGTTTTTGTTATCAGCATGTTACCACATGCACTTTCATGACTCCAGCCTAAGATGTTTCCGCCTGGTTATCCTGTTCAGATAGATTGGTAGTCAAGGGGTCACATTTATAAGGCTTGGGAAAGCTTGGCCTGCACCCAAGGGTGCCCATGAGTGCTCTCAGGACCTCTGGTGGCCGGGGACCGGGCTGGGGCTACCACTCAAGGCCGTGGGGCCTGTGGGGGTCCCCATCCTGTCCTCTGAGGAGGTGACAGCACCCTGCCCTGCTTGCAGCTCTGATGACCTCTGTCGCTCCCGCAGGGGGCCTCTCTTCTCAGACAGGGTTGGGAAGACACAGCCTTGTCTGGCTGGCTCTCCTGTTTGCATTTCATTTCCAGCCTTTTATCTGGGCTGGCTTCTGCTGTCTTTGAAAATAAACTCCTCTTTGTGCTGTTGAGAAGAGGTGCCCAGGGGGAATTGGGGAGGTTCTTTTGGCTCAAATCCTGCACCCTGGTCTGGGAGGCCCTGCTCCATTGCCCTTTCCCACTGCCGACTGCCATTCCTGTGCAGCCTGGTGGCCCGGCCGACATTCTGTGTGACTCATGGCCTGATTTTTAAGCCAGTTCTGCTCGCCCCTCCCTTTTCCCTAGCTGTGTTCCACAGAATATTCTGATCTGGCTTCATAAACATAGACTTGCAGGGGCCAGAAGGGCCCTTAAGAGGCTGCCTGATGTCTCCACCCCACCTTCTGGGCGAGGGGCGGGGAGAATACACTGGACAAGGATCCTGTTTGTCCTCTGAAACTTTAAGTAGAGGCTGACTCCTCTGAGTCCCTTGTGGGAGGTACCATGTGGCCTGTCCTAGCCAAGAGATTCTCTCAGTCATGACCCTTTCCTTTACCAATAGCTCTCCTCTTCTAGCCAATCAGAAACGTCATTTTATGGCTTTGAACTTTAGCCTTGTGCTTTGTACAATGAGGCATTATGCCAGTGTGCTTTCAGTGCATACTTCTGACTGGATACCCTGTGGACATGAACCTGTGCCTGACTTGGCCTCACAGGTCAGTGCACTTGTCTGCAGGTCTACTGGCCCCAGTAGTATCTCCCACCAGGTCCTGGCGCACACTCTTAATTGGCTCCCCTGCCTCTTTCCCCGTCTGTTCCTTCCTAGCACTATAGCTAATATGATTCTTTAATAATAAAAATGTGGTCATTTTACACACCTGCTTAAACGCCTTTCAAGGGCTCCCTTTGTCCCAAAACAAAGTCTGCACTTCAGGTGCGTTGGGGTACAGCCCCCGCAGGTTTCCAGCCTGCCTTCTAGTCTCCAGATGCAGCCATCTGGCTAGAGTTAACCCAGTGTCTGGGAACACTCCTCTCACTCTTATTCCAGGCGTGCTCTCTGCCTCTTTGCCCAGCTAATTCCTACTGAAACTTTAGGAGGCTCCTTAGACACTGCTTCATTCCAGAAACTTTTTTCTGGTTCTCTCTCTGCTCTTGCCTTTTTGGCTTCAGGGACCTATCCACCCCCTCCAATACCACCTATGCTATGTCTGTTCCCACTTGTAACATATTTATTGTC